ACTCCTATGCATTCTGCAAGACGCAATTCAAACGCCCTTGCCTCTGAAGCCTTTCCTGACCAGATGATGGTCCAATTCACATCCTTGGGCTTCTGGCGCAACCTCTTCTCGCCACTTCCTGATCAGACTCAATGCCTTAACTCACGGCTCTCAAATGTGAGTTCTTTCTAGACCACAGAACATGTGGGTCTCCCCTGTAACCTAAAATAGTGCTTCTGAAACTTAGGCAAATATCAAAGTCACATGGAAGGCTCCATGAAACACGCTTGCTGACCACATTTCTGGTCAAGGTGAGGCCTGAAGCCTAGGTGCAGGATTCACAAGGGCTGGGCAATGCGTCTGCTGCTCTGACAACCACTAATCTGAAAAGCCAAGCACAGACGTCTCGGCACTCAGGCCTTCTACAACGCGGCCTCCAATTCTTTTACCAGCCCGATCTTTCACAGGCACTGCTCTCGTGTGAGACTAGCAACCACCTGAACGGGCTCCCCTTGCAGCCTGCCTCTGTGCCTGCGCCACCCTCCTGCCTGGCTTCCTTTCGTTGCCTCCTCAGTCAGGAGCCTGAATCCCCAAATGAGGACACAGCACCTTTCAAAGTCCACATGAATGGAGGCTGTGGGGACAGCTCCCAAAGAGCAACAGAAGAAATGGTTCTGGCCGCAGCGGTAGCCTTGGATGAGAAAGTAGCAGGCGAACAATCTGGGGCAACCTGGGCACAGCAAATTCTGGTGTGTCTATTCAAACACCACAGGCAACCCAAGCCAGTTAAGAATCGTTCTTTTTCTCGGTCTGGTTTTCCAACTCCCCCACTGCCTAGCTGTGTGGCCTGTAGGCAATGCACTTAGCTTCTCTGTTTCTCTCGTTTGCCTCTGCAAGACAAGGCCAAAGCAACAACCTCAGAGAATGAAGAGAAAATGACAACACTAGCAAAACTCATGGACACACACACACTGAGCCCTCACTCAATAAATGCTGGCTCTTCTTGGTGTTAGCTTTGACCCTGGAAGAGTAATGAACTTGGGACTGAACCCCAACCAACAATGGGGACAGACACATGAAATTTTTTTTAATGGTCATAATCAGCAGTCAAAAAATATATATATACCAATGAACAAAAGGATAAACAGGCAAATGGGCAGATGGGTAGATGGCCGACAGAATCCTTTGGTTCAAAAGTGTCTGTGTGAGACCAGTTTGGAGAGAGAAATTTAAAAATACTAAAAACTGAGCTGAGGATGGTGGCGCATGTTTGTAACCCCAGCACTCTGGGAGGCTGAGGCAGGAAAATCACAAGGTTAAGCCCTGGCTGGGCAGCTTTGCTATTTAACTGTTATATGTAGTTTCTCTGCTCTAACTTACAGAGCTGCTCTTTGAAAAGTTTTTTTTTTTCCTTCTTTAAAGAGATTACACAACTGTTCCATGTATTACCATCAGAGAAAAGTGAGAATACACAGAAAAGAAAAAGGAAAATATATTAAAGCTATACAAGTGAATTTTCACTGGAGATAACTGCTCCAGACCAAGGCTCAAAAAAAAAAAAAAAAAAAAAAAAAAGGTGGTGCACACTTGCAATCCCAGCACTCAGAAGGCTGAGGCAAAAGACTCCCATGAGCTGGAGGCCAGCCTGCACTCCATAGCCAGGTCCTGTTGCAAAAAAAGTAAACCCCCCAAAAGTAAAAATACATAAAAAAGGATGGGGATGGAGCTCAGTGCAAAGATCCTGGGTTTAATCTCCACTACAATCGCCCCCAGAAAAGGTAAAAATGTTCACAAAGAGGATCCCAGACAAGAATACAACAAACTCAGAGATGTTCGTCAGGGAGCTGTTTACAACAACAGCAAAAAACAACAACATCAGAAGCAGCCAAAATGCCCAATGATAGAGACTACGTAGGAAGACGACAGAGTTCTTTGGAAGAACAGACTGAAGCTGCAAGTGTTTCCCTATGGCCGTGAATAGCTCTAAAGGCTGAGGGTGTCACGCAGAGACAGCGCACTTACCTAGTGGGAGCCAAGTCCTGGGTTCTACCCCCAGCACCACCAAACAAAAAGCTGTAAATACTTGTACTGTTTCAACCTTTTTTTCTTTGCTTTTCTGCAGGTTCTCAATTTTCTCTGATGATCAGATGTATATATTTGTGTAATTTCTTCTTTCTTTCTTTTTTGTTTTGTACCAGCAATCGAACTCAAGACCTTGTACTTGCCAGACAGGCACTAAGCCATTGAGCTATATCCTTGGCCCTTGTGTAATTTTTTTAAAGAAGAAAAACTGTTTTTAAAAACAGCTCTGTAAATTAGGTCAGAGAAACACAGTCTTAGCCTCCCCAGCTTCAGCATGACCCTGAGCAAGGGTCCTCCATCTCTGCCTCTGGCCCCTCCTTGGGGAAAGGCTGACCTGGGGCTCTCCCTACTCTGCTCTCCTCCCAAGGACACAGAGACAGTGGACAGAAAAGGGCTTGGAGAGCAGAGGCTGATGGCTGCTGCCACCTAAGTAGCTCTCCAAGGAGAGGCCCCAAGAGGTGGCCTTGTTCTTAGGGGCAGAGCCCTGAAGGCCTGTGCCACGGTGTAGGCCTCCATTGTTGAAAGTCTGGTCCTCAGTGGGTCATGGTGGAGGGAGCAGGACCTTTAGGAGGTAAGGACTGTAGGTGGTCTCGGGCCCTTGGGTGCACTCCTGTGGGGGAAACAATGCTTCCTGGGACTCTGGTCTGCCCAGCTTCTGTCCTGCAGTATGACCGCTCCCTCTGGCATACACCCTTGCCAGGAAGCTGTCTACCACGAGGTCCTTGCAGAGCTGGTGCCATGGCCTGGGCCCTCCAGAACTATGAGCTCTCTTCTTTATAAAGTGACCAGCCCCTGGAGCTTAATGATCATAGAGGAACACAGACGAACACCAGCCAACAGAGCCACGTCCCCGCCCACTCAGGGCCACTGACTGCTCCCCATGCGGACTTCAGTCTATAGGGTGGGCAGTGAGAGGGACACTCTCATCTCTTAAGTACCAGCAATTTTTCTTTTTTAAAAATTTATTTATTTATTTATGTGTGTGTGTGTGTGTGTGTGTGGCCCGCTCAGCCCACCAGGGGGCGGGGCTGGCTGGCGTGTGGTGCTGGGGGATTGAACCGCGGTCCCTGTGCTTTGCTAAGCTTGTTCCAAGTAGGTGCTTTAGACCACTGAGCCATCTCACCAGCCCCCCAGCAATTTTTCTTAAATGAAACAGATTTCGCCACAAAGTAACAGTAGTGTTGTTCTTAAACACAAGGTATTCTGTTGCAAAACCAGCCAGGGCTCTATTTCCCATTATTTTAAATGGGAAAAATGATAATATGTTGACTCTAAGCTCACTACTGATTTTCTAGAATGTAATTAAAACACAGTAAAACTGGGCATAACAAACTACGGTGACAGGACATAGAATGCCTCAGTAACACCCTTTTCTGGCCTTGGTGCACGACTCAGGGTACAGTGGTCCCTCGCTCATGGCAGAGGTTGCATTGTTGACACCTCTGCAATAAGTGAAAATCATTTATTTTAATATATATATATATATATATATACACACACATACACACATATATATGCTTTATAAACCCTTCCCACACTTTTTATTTTTTATTTTATTTTTTTCTTCCCACACTTTTTAAAACACTGCTAATGTTCTTAACCATTTCCTAAACTCATAAACTTGTGCAATTTTAGCAACATACGTATACTGTACAGTGCTACAAAAATCCCATGATATCATGAAAAATCCATCATAAATAACTTAGATTAATATTTTTTGAAAATCTGCGAAACAAAAAAAAAAAAAGAAAATCTGCAAAACAGTGAGCCTGTGAAAGTCGAACTGCAAGACAGCAAAGGACTACTGTACAGCGGCAGCCGTGAGTCCACAGCCCGCTCATGAAGACCTGAGTCCACAGCCCACAGGGATTTTAACCCAATCACCACAGAGTGCTGAGCCCCCCACTGATCACTGCTGCTGTGTGTGACAGCACGACCCAGCCCTCTCAACTCCAGTGACAGCTGAGGCAGCCACCCCCATTGGCCTCTCAGCAATCTTGCCAAAACATCTACACAGGATTCTGATGTTCTTCCAACCGCATCTAGAATGCCCTGGAGCCGCCTCCCCACCCGCGGACACTATTTTGCTTCAGTGTGGTACTGATTTAGGGGCACAAAAATATGGTATTTGGGCTGGGAGTCTAGCTCTGCAGAAAGCACTTGCCTAGCACACGCGAAGCTCTGGATCCTTCCTCAGCACCTACACAGAGTCATTTTCTGTATAAAATGGGCTAACAACAAAGGGAAAACGGGATTGTAGAAGAGCCCCTTCTTTGGTGCCGCAGCCACTGTAGAGCAGATGCCAATACCACTAATAAGAGAATAGGCAGCACCTACCCAGCCTGGACGGGGGCCCAGCTCTATCCTGAGTACCTGTCAGGGAACAACTCATTTGTCCCTGCAACCTTCCAGGAGCTGGGCACTGCACTCTGCATAAGTCTTTTACAAAATGCTTCAGGCTTTGCACTATTCCAGATTTAGACCATTTCAGATTTTAAACTATTTACATGTATTTTACCAACGGAATATCCCTAGTCTGAGAATCAGAAATCCAAAATGTTCTGAAGCCTAAAAGTTTTCTGAGTACTGTTCACATTCTAGAGCAGATTTAATCCCATTATACAGATGGGGAAGCCCAGGCACTGGAAGGCTTAGAGTGGGTCTAGGATTACCCAGCTTTATAAGCAGCAACACTGGAATTCAGGGACAAACACTAGAGCTCTGGAATTCCCTCCTGCTCTGGACCACTGTCCTTATTCCCAATAGGGGGCAACTCCATGGGAAGGGAAGAGCAGGGGCCTCAGAGCCCCCACTGCACCTGTCCCTTGCCCCAGCCCTTGCCTTCAAAGAAAAGCCAAGGAAGAGCTGAAGATCATGCTTGCTCTACAGAACCAGGCCTAGGGGCTGAGAGGCTGAGGGACTGGGGGGAGTGCCCTTACCCACAGCTTCCCATCATAGTAGTAGGCTCCCAGGAGCTTCACGATGTAGGGGTGGTCACAAGTGGCCAGGATCTCAATCTCCACAATATAGTCCTCAAGTTCCTCCTCACTCTTGGTCTCGATGACTTTGGCTGCAGCCAAAGCACCCGTCTCCTTATTCTTGGCCTGAAAAGGGAAACACGAAAGTCAGCAAGGAAGGTGGGCAGGAAGCTGACCCCTGGAAGGCAGCCTCAGGAACCCTGAATGAGTGTGGAAACAGAGGCCGGATGTCCGGAGGCCTGAGACAACGCACAAGGACAGACACTGTTCCTGACCAGGGCCAGCACCATACATCGCATCCACACAGAGGAACATACACAAGAAACAGCGTTCTGTGTTTAATAATGACAACACATCCATTCTGTGAAATAAAAATATAAGACTAGGCTAGGGCCACAGATAGCAACATGGAAAGATTGCCCAATGGTTCAGCAATGATTCTAGTCACTACACAATGAAAGTGGGGCAAAACAGAAAACTGCAAAAACACGGCGGCACACACTTGCAGTGCCAACTACTTGGGAGGCTGAGACAGAAAAATTGCAAGTTAAGAGGCCAGCCAGGGCAATTTAGCAAGATCCTGTCTCAAGAAATTAACACACGAAAAAGTTAGGGATATAGCTTAATGATAGCGTGCTTGCATATGTGTTGTAGTCAGGGTTTACAAGGCAAAGAATTTAATACGGGACACATAACTTACAGGATTATTTTATAATCGTCACCTAAAGAGTTAAAGTACAAAGGAGTGCAGGAAATCTGTCCACACACTAAAGATTCAAAGAAGCCAGCTGAGGGTCTGGATCCCACAGTCATGTCCTATGTGAGTCCAGCTGAAAACCAAGAGCCCGTAACAATGCTCCTCGCTAGTCCAACTGGAGGCTGAGAGCCCATGACAATGTCTCTTGCAGGCCTGCTTCAAGGATCTGCACTGGGAAGACCCTAAGGTCAGCGGTGGAAGCTAGACAGTCCGTGCCGGTGGGATGAAGGATCTGTGCCAGCAGGCTGAGGGATCTGCACTGAAGCCAGGAAGCAACTCTCAAGGTAAGGACCAGAGCTCCCCAAAAAAGTACCACAGCCATCGTTAGAGACAATGAGGTCCCAAGCTCCTCTGATGAGAAGAGCAGTCTACATCAGGAAATCCAGCGTGACGAGCTTCTCCAGGACCTGGAACAGTGCACGAGCTTCCCCTCCCCTGGAGGAGTTGTGAAGCAATGCTTAAAAAGTAAGGACCAGAGCTCCCTCGAGGTGAGCAGCAGCCATTCTCACTGATGACAAGATCCGGAGCTCCTCCAACGATGAGAACAGCTGGGTTCACATCAGGAAAGCCAGCATGGCAAGCTCCTCCAGAAGAACCAGCAGCCCCAGGAACACCTACAGCTCCCCGACAACACCTCTTCTTCTCCAGTTCTTTTTATGCTGTTAGCAACAATCCTCAGGTAGGCCTTCCACACCCAGCAGCAGGCTGGTTCAGTTCAGCTGGGTGTTACAAGCTGCCCACCAGTTGTCAATCCACCACAGTATGCAAGCATAAAGCCCTGAGATCCATGCTCAGCACCACATACAAACCTAGGTAAAAGCAAAAGCAAAAAAGAAAACTATACTGTCACACACAGTATAGTTTCCTGTGTCTGTAAATGCATGAAAAACTACTCCAAGTCAGCGCCTGATGGCAGACCGTGGAGGGACTCTGGGATTTTTTGCCCTCTCCGTACTTCTGACAAAGTGTGAAGAGAAATGTTGGTCATTTCACACAGTAGAATGAAGAGCTGGGGTGTGGCTTGGTGCAGGCTGCTTCCCTAGCATGTACAAGGTCCTGGTTTGGATCTCAGCACTGTAAAGACATTTCTAAAAGTAGACTGAAAAAGACTTATGTAAATACCCAATTCCACTGGAATTTCTCCCTAGATGCAAGTCACCTGGGCAATACTTTTTTTTTTTTTTTTTTTTTTTTTTGTTTTTTTTTTTTGGAGACAGGCTCTCACTAAGATGCCCTGGCTCCCATTATTAAAAGCAATGAAATTCTGATGCATGCGATGAGGCAGATACACCCCAAAGGTTGTGTGTTACATGAAATAAGCCAGACACAAAGGACCAAACACTTTAGGGTTCCACTTCCTATAAAATAAATTCATAGGGACAGAATCTAGAGATGGGGGAAGGGAAGCTGAGCAGTTTCTGTTTCGTGGGCTCAGAGATGTTTGTTGGGAATGATAAGAATTGGGAACATAGATGAGGTGATGGCTACCCAACTTGTGAACAAACTTAACACCACACAATTGCACACTCATGAAAGGTGAACACGTGGAGTACGATGCATATACATCTTAGCCATATTCCAAAAAGGGAGTGTGAAACAGAAATAATAATGCAACACAAGCTGGGGGCCTGTGAATGGGAGGCAACCCCCTCCAGCTCCCTGAGGTGTCCCGTGAGCCAGGTGAATGCTGGGTGAGCACAGCCCCTCTCATCCCCCTGCCACGAGAGTCCAGAGTCAGAAAAGGGCACATTTCGTGACAACAGGACCCCTAATGGCAAGCTGCTCACATGGAGACGGAGCCTGCAGCAAATCACAGGGAAAGTAGGCTGTGCGGGGCTCTGTGGGCAGCTCAGAGCTGGTCCCCACCTCGGTGTCATCCTGAGGATCGTGCCTCTCTTGTCCTATGGGATGACTATGGACGCCGGCTCCAGCAAGCATGCTGGTGGCAGTGTTACTCCTGCCACAGTGGACAGTGACACATTCCCCACCACACGATCAGAACCCAGCGCCCAGCAACACTATTTCCCCAGCTCCAAGATAAATTAGAGAGTGGATGTGACCAGAATGGCACCAGGATTTGGGTCATCTAACTTCAAAGACTGACCACCCTCTGCTTCTGCTCAGAGTGCCACATGCTGTGCTCACTGAACAGGGAGAGAGCCACCCTCTCCCAGCCTGGGGAGTCCCAATCTAGTTGGAGAAATCCTTTGTCCTGCATGGGATAAGCGGCAAGGGTGCCTGGGATGGGAGGGGGGACCTCGGGGGAGCGCCCAACCCAACCAGGGAGCCTTCCGGAAGGAAGTGACGCATGGGGCTGACGCAAGCAGACCATTTTATGTTCATTTGCTTTTTATGTACTTGTTCTCTCCCTAGGTACATTTTATTGTTCACAGCTCTGCCAAGTCCCCAGGCTCCCATACAGAAATGACCACAGCTGCACAGGTCTATCAGGGCCCACGACGCAGAACAGAGGTCCATGCTTCCTGCACATGCTAACCCAGTCATCGTCCCCACCACCTTCTGATGCCAGCACTGTTTTATGATGTCCGATGCAGACCAGAAGACGGAGGCAAAGCCCTGGGTGGATCTCAAAGGCTGCCAGGCTGGCCCCTCATCCACACTCTTCCTCCCCTAAAGCTTTCCCAGGTCAGAGGCTCTGAAACCTACTGCACCTGACCCATGAGCCCAGGCCAGGGCAGAGGAGGTCAGGAGAGGCCAGGTCTGGTCTTGGAATGTGCCTGCTCCTGGGCTCAGTTCTGTGGGGTCCTTGCCCTTAACTGAACTCAAGAGTTGGTTCAGAGCACCTTAGAAATTTATCAGTTAAGCAACTGGGTACTCCCTTTCCTCTTCCCCCTCCCTCTCCTCCCCTCCTCCTCTCTCTCCCTTCCCCTTCCCCCTCCCTCCCTTTCCCTGTATACATTTAGATTTCTTGTAAAACTGAGTTTTTTAAATGTCTCGACCAGGGAACTGGCAAAACACCCTTTCGTTTCCATCCAGCACTCCTCTTCCCCATTCTCATCCTCCTCTCTGAGCTCAGAGAAGTGGGGCAGCTCTGCTTCTTCTCAGGAGGAAGGCTGGGGCTGAGAGGGGTGGCCACAGATGAGAAGGGTGGCCACGAAACCACTGTGACCATGCAGACCAGGCTGAGGCCAGCCCTTGGTCATTCGGTTTCCCCTCTGAGAGCCAGTGCAAAGGCTGCCTGCTACCTTGCCCTGGGATTCCTGGAAAGGGCTGTCTCCCTTAACGGTGGAGGAGGTGAGGGCTATTTTCCAGGAGCACACAAAATCACTTTGCCTGCCATGCTGAAAGGCAGCATTGGGCAAGGCCTGAGCAGGGTGCCAGTGTCAACATGAGGGAAAAAGGCTGCCTAGTGTCCTGCTCGGATTTTACAGACCCCGGAGTCTGCGATGGGCAGGGGCTGTCAGGAGAGACCATGGGCGTGAAGTGACTTGGCCAAAGTTAAATTCCTTAAAAGTCTGCTTGAAGCAACAATCCAGCCCTGTGAGGCCACAGGGCTGTAACAGTGTGGATGATTAAAGCAGCAGGCAGACTCATAGAGAGTCACAGAATTTGTCTCAAGACACACGGCAATAGGGGGATAAAGGTAGAACACACACACACACACACATACACACACACACACACACACACACACACACACACGAGGATCCTGGATCCTGAGCTCCAAATCATGTCCCAAAGGCCTTCCTTGGTCTGGGCCCAGGGTTCCCTATTCCATCTCCCTCTGCAAAAGGTAAAGGCCGGCCATATCCAATAGCAACAGTTCACACTAGGGACGAGTGCTGAGACTGCCAGATTTTAATCCACCCTCGAGCCATTAAGGCTGGCATTGCTTGTGGTGCACATTTCCCAGACAGGCGGACTCAGGTCTAGAGAGGCACTGGGAGCCACACAGGACTGTGCGCTATGGTGGTGCCCTGACTCCTCTCAGTCTAGAGTTCTCTTTACCACACTGTGCCACCGGGAAACAGCCTGCTTTCTATTTATTCACTCACTCACCCACTCACATGATCATTAGTTAGTGAGCCCAAATTCGTGTGAGATACTTCTAATGAACAAGTCCTAGGATGGTGATGGCAAACCTTTTACAGCATCCAGTGATAACAGCTCTAGGTTTGCCACCACTGTCCAACAGGAATTTGCTGCAGAAATCATGTTGTTCCACCCCTCATAACATAATCCACTCTTCCTTCCTTGACTTTTCTTCAGCATAGCCAGTTTAGTCTTCTTTCCAATCCCTAAAATGCAACAAAGTTGAACTAACTCCCTGCCACTAACTAGAAATGAGTGGGTGATTCCTCTGGGCCAATGAGAACCTTGCATTTTCTCTAGCCACAGTGATTGGCCC